CATTAATTTTATCGCACTCCAGTACATAATGACGCAGGGTGTGACAATAATCCATCTGGCAAAGTTTACATTTCGTTTGGTCTACATCTGGTGGTGGTGATTTAACCTGCCAAAGATACTTGTAACCCAGCCGGAGCCGGGCGGTAGTGACATCCAAGAGTCTGCTTATTTTGTTGGATGCACCATAGACATGTGGCTCCTCCTGCATGATAGAATGATGATAGATGGACTCACTGGTGTCAATCTCCCTGAGCCTTAAGTCCATAAAATTCAGCTGATTTGAGAGGAGGGTTTACATTAGAGTATAGTGTTCTGTGTATGTAGCAGGCACAATAATAAGTGTGGATGTTTGTATATTTAGTAAGTTAAGACTCTTGAAAAGTGGTGGAGTGTGTTGTCTGTTGCAGGAGTTAGTAATCAATCTCACTGCAGGTTTTTGCTGGATTATTAAAGGCTTAAGGTGATATGCTGTGGCTGAGCCCCATGCACAAATACCATAGGTGAGGTAAGGGTAAATGAGAGAGTGGTACAAAGCTAGAAGAGCTGATTGGGGTACATAGTACCGTATCTTTGAAAGGATGCTTACTGTTTTGGAGACTTTCTTGGAAATTTGCTGTATGTGTGCCTGAAATTTGAGACTGCAGTCAAGGTGGAGACCTAGGAATTTGCCCTCTGCCTGTCTCGAGATAGGTGAATTATTTATCAATATATTTAGCTGTACATTTGAAGTTCTGTTTCCGAAAAGCTTGAAGTAGGTTTCGTCAATATTGAGAGTAAGTTTGTTGGTAATCATCCAAGTAGATATTTTTTAGCAGTTCACCATTTACCGTGTCTGTTGGTATGGTTGGGTTTGGGTGAGAAAAGACATAAGTTGTGTCATCGGCAAATAAAATGGGTTTAAGGAGCTTAGGTGCGTTTGGTAGGTCATTGATGTAAATGAGAAAGAGAAGTGGGCCAAGAACGCTCCCCTGTGGGACGCCAACAAGAACAGGTTGTGTAGTGGAACAGGTTCCGTTTGTGTATACACACTGGGTTCTACTGTTAAGATATGTAATTATGTGTACTTGTACTTAAATGAACGTACTTATTGTTTCTCTTTCCACCTTGTTGGTATTTTATGTCATTGCAAGGGCTCCAGTGGAAATAAGTCACGTTGACTTATCTTAGGTAAGTTACACTATTGTAGCCTGTAAGCCTACATGCCTAGTTCCCATAGCTTCCCCCAGAGGGCAAACCTGGTGGGCATGCCACTTGAAGTGGCATCACCCTGCCACTCTCTCACTTCGCGCCCAGGCATCCTTAGGGTCAACACATGACCTACTCTCTCCCTCGCTGGCATAGCCCCTTGGGGCCATGGGCACAAACACTGCCTCTGTACCCAGATTTCGCAAGTAAAGTAAGAAGCCTCTGAATCCTTATCATTACTCCCTTCTACCAAGAACGACACAATAACCATTCGTAAACATTGGTGGAAGCGGTGGTCGCAGCAGGTGTTTGCCGGAGAGAGGGAAGGGAGGAATAAAGTCGTCTTCACTTCATCGTCCCATACAAGAAGCATCAATCTCTCAACGAGTTAACCTGATGCTGTGTCTGCAAGTCTCAGCATCCAGATACATGTACAAGCAGGATCCAGACCGAAATTTGCCGAATTTCTTCGAGATATATAAGTGGCATCATCTGACACTTCACAGCGTCCCACGCTGTTTCTCAAGTCACTGTTCAGCGTCACTTGTAATAATAATATCTTTATTTACTACAAGTACATGGTATACAGGCCTAGGTGACATCAATGACATACTACTATATTATAGAAAGCCCCTTGTTATGCTGAGCATTTCGGGCAAATTAGGTCAGTGTCCCAGGATGCGACCCACACCAGTCGACTAACACCCAGGTACCCATTTTACAGATGGGGAACATAGGCAACAGGTGGAAAGAAACACGCCCAGTGTTTCTACTCTGGCTGGGAATCGAACCCAGACCCTCACCGTGTGAAGCGAGAGCTTTAACCACCAGGCCACCAGAGCCCTATGTATGTTGATGCTGTTGTTTTTCAGCTCAGCATGGCTATTTCAGCAAGTCAGAGGTGAGTTTGTGGTGATTTCTGCATCCAGTGTGAGTGTTTCTCCCCGTGTTTGTGGGTGGGAGAGGAGGAAGTGGCCGATCCTTGCCTCACCCACACTCGCCCTACTGTACCTGGAGTTTACCTGGAGAGAGTTCCGGGGGTCAACGCCCCCGCGGCCCGGTCTGTGACCAGGCCTCATGGTGGATCAGTGCCTGATCAACCAGGCTGTTACTGCTGGCTGCACGCAATCCAACGTACAGACCACAGCCCGGCTGGTCAGGTACACCACCACACCATACACCACTCACCACTACTCACTCCCTCTGCTGTTTCTGTGAATTCATTGTGAATTCTTTGCCAGAACTGTGTATCCGAGTGCCCGAGGTCACTCGAAGCCACGTGGATCACGAAGCCATGTGTGGACGAAGCCACGTGGGGTGTGGACGATGCCACGTGGATCTACAAGCTAAGTGGGTTAAGCCAGAGCCCAAGCTACATGCTGTTGTCTTCTGTCAGCATCATTCCACTGATGTCACGATGCTGCCCAACTCCACTGGCGTCATCCATGATGCTGCCCAACTTCACAATGTCACCTCGCGATGTCACCCTATGACATCCCTCACGATGTCACTCCAGGACGTCCCCTCGAGACATCTGCTGATGTCACCTCATGATGTCATCCCATGACATCACATGATGTCACAACAAGAAGATTGAAAGAAGATATATATCATGTGTTAATTCCTCTCAGTCAGTGTTCTTACATGTTCGTGTATAGCTTAGTGTTGAGTTTTGCACAGAAAATCGTCATTTGCTTGTTAAGCCATGTTGTACTACATGTGCAGGAGGTGTGTGCAAATTTTCCGTGTGTCCTGATGTGAGGTCAGTGCCCAGATCAGTGTAGCACCTCATGTTACTTGTCACCTGGTGTGACCCGTTCATTGACAGCTGACATTAGTCAGTTCAGGCATCAGTTACGAGCGTCTGAACCCCTTGTACAGAAAGCTCTAATTGTTCACCGCTCATTATGCCCTGCAGAATTGTAGCCACTATGATTCCTATCGAAATTTGTTTCGCTTCACCTCCTGACCTTCAGAGCAGTTATATGTAGAGAATCAGTCTGGGGACGCTTAGACAAACCTCTGCTATAACTCCAACTGTCGAGAGAATAGCTTCAGTGAGTAGCCTGCACAAAGATGATGTCACTGACTGCTAGCCAGCTCACTGCAGTATGTTGTATGCAGTTACGACTTCAAGATGATTCGCCGAGTCGTCCCTGCCATGACTCACTCCACCCTCGCTGGCAGCGACAGCACCAGTGACAGTACAGTCGAGAAATGTCCTTCTGAGTCGCTTGCCAGAAGAAGTCCTGCCCAGTTGCCAGTACTGACGACACCTCACTTGAGAGTACAAGCAGGTTGTGCCCCAGGTTGAGTGAGCCCTGCAGCGACTACTACGACGACTGCTTCACCACTCCAGAGACCATACTCTGTTACATCACAGCTCAGTCGCATTGATGTCTCCCGTGCTGCAGTATCTGTCCAGACACAGGAAGGTGTGCAGTGATGCTCATCAAGGCTCACTGCATTAGACCACTATGTTTAGCACACCACTTTTTTTTCCCCGTGTCCATATGTATATACAGTAAATATGTTTTTATTCTGTGTTCTGTGCCCTGTTCCTGCGAGAGAGACTGAATTTTTTTACCGCCAGTCATGGTCGAGGACGACCATGTGGTAGGTGGCTGAGCAAAATGCAACCAGTAAGCCTACATGCCTAGTTCCCATAGCTTCCCCCAGAGGGCAAGCCTGGTGGGCATGCCACTTGAAACGGCATCACCCTGCCACTCTCTCACTTTGTGCCCAAGCATCCTAGGGTCAACACAAGGCCTACTCCCTCTCTCCCTCGCTGGCATGGCCCCTTGGGGCCATGAGCACAAACACACTGCCTGTGTACCCAGATTTTGCAAATAAGTAAGAAGCCTTCGAAAGCCTTATCATTACTCAGCACTACCAAGAACGATGGAATTAACCTTCGTAAACATTATGTATAATAATTGTACCTATGTGTCCTTGTGCCTAAATGATCTTTACTTACTTTACATACTTTATTTGGAATATTTTGGGTTTTCCTAAATTCAGCATGTGTAAATTTGAATAATACAATAATTGTGTAATAAAATATGATGCTGATTTGACCCTTCAAGAAATTTTCAGTGAAGGGGGGTGTGGAAGAGCCGGAGACTGACACCGGGGAGGGGACGCCATATTGAATTTAATGTGTGAACACTAGACTGAGGTGTGCAATGTGATCAGGAATTCTCGGAGGCCCCAATTTTGCTTTTTCAACCTGATTTTGTAATAGAAACCTGTGTTAATGTCCCTTTCTGAAGAATTGGGACAGGAAATTTGCAAGACCTCAAGAATTGTGTGTGAATGGCAGAACACTCACGGGAAAGTTCACCATTAATCTTTGCATTTAGATCACTAGCTTACCAATGTCGGGTCTAGGTGTTCGGCAGGTGTTGTGGGGCGATTCATCTACAGTAATTAAATGGTAAGTGTTAATACCAATTATATTTTGTAGCCAGCAAGCCTATTCCTATACAGTCCACACAACTTTAATTACTAAAGTAGCGAAGTAGCTGGTTTTAATATTATAATTATTAATCTAATATCAGGTCTAGCTTTTTGTGAGAGTGGTGAAGAAATTGGCAGTCGAGGGAGTGACAGTTCAGTGACCTACTGTGACTAAGTCCCACTTACCTCACCCAAATTACTTGCAGGTAATAATTCAGGTAATATCCTGTAAATCTCACGCAGGTAATTTATTCAATGAATAATGATAATATTCACACTTTACTTACTACTTACTTACTATTACTTCCTCTCCATTCCTATTCCCTGGTAGGTTTGTGCGCTACAAGTGTTCGCTGTGGCTCGCTGCACAACGTTCAGACTCCCTTGTATGTAAACATCTCGCGCGGGAGAGTGACGCCTTTGCGAACTTCTTGATGGGATTTTCTGCCTCAAACATCTGCAATTAATGCCTGTAATATGTCAACGTACCAAGTAAGGTCACTAGAGGAGGCAGACCAGATAATTCGGGAGCATGAGAGGAAGACCAAGACCACATACGCCCTCCTGAGGTCTACCAAGAATTTCGGCTGCATTGATGTTCCAGGTATATAAGAAAATATAAAGTATATTACCTCCTCAAGGGAGGTGCCTTTATGACTGTGAGGGACCTTTGATCCCTTGGACTAGATTTAATCGCCGTTTCCTTTCGTCTAACCTGAATGCCTCCCATTCCCGAGCCCTACAGGCTTAGCGCATCCCTTTGGATAAAATTAAAGCAAAATTATAAGACCAAAGGAACATTGCAGCAGGTCTTTTGGCCCGTACATGGCAGTTCCTTCTTAAATCCAACCCATCTCACTCGAATATTAGTCCAGCCTATTATTAAAGCTTCCCAGTGATTAGCTTCAGTCTTATTAATACATATTTGACAGATTTCACCAATTTCAAATCCTTCTCACTCATGTATTTGTCTAATCTAGTTTTTAAAGCTACCTAATAGTTTAGCCTCAATGACTTTACTTGGCAAGATTGTTCCACTCATCACCAACTCTTATTTCCTAACCAGTACTTTCCATCATCCTTTATAAATCTAAATATGTCCAGTTTCAATCCATTATTTCCTTTATAAATCTAAACTTGTCCAATTTCAATCTGTAATTTCGAGATCTTTCTTACTTGGATATCCCTGACACCCTAGTTATATCTCCCTTATTTATGCCTGTCTTTCTCTTGTGTACTTTGATCTTGTCACCCCTCAAGAGTTAGATTTCTGTAAACATTGTACTGTATCTTTTAAATTATTTACTACAGTGTACTGAAATTTTAAAGATTTTAATCAGATTTTCAGTCCAGAGGATTAGTAGCCCAGGATTGCTTAAGAAAGCCAGTCATTGTGGCTTATTTCCATTGAGGTCCTTTGATCCAGTTTGCCAGTATGGGAGCCACAACAGTTTACTAATACCCAGGTACCTACTTACTGCTAGGTGAACAGGGGCAACAGGTGTTGCAATTGAACCCTTCTCCTTCAGATGTGAGCCTAATCCACACATTGGGAAAGTGAGTAGTAAACCAAACTATACCACGAGCGGGATTTGAACCCGCGGTCAGAGAGTCTCAAAACTCCAGACCATCGCATTAGCCACTAGTAATCGGGTGTAACCACAAATATGGTAGGGTAGCTTCATTTCCTTGACTTGAGAGCCTTTTACTAGTTTTGTAATAGTACTAAATAAGATGTGTAGTACAAGTCAGCCATCACTAATCCAACATATAAACGTTCATTATTTCTTGTTCACTTATAAAACTAAGTTTAACTAGACCTTTTAGCAGTTCACCTGTCAACTGAATTAACCTATTAATATAGACGCTAACCGAAATTAATGCTGGATTAGTGATTGCTGAATAAGTGATGGCCAGCCTCTACTAGGCTATGTCTTGGTCATGGGACATTTCTCAATTGATGAACTGGGAAAAGGTCCCATGATTGAAACATCTCAATAAATATCCTAGTAGCTATTACATGTCTTATCAGCATCATTGTTGGTACTCAACAGCATCTTTCACGAAGTCCTTTACCAAGTTGAAATGTTATGACATATTTATTTCCATTTATTTTTCCTTTCACTAATGCATTTTAATTATTGCAGCATGTGCTAATGACGAAAATGAGGTCCGATTTGAAACTGTGGGTGTCCCATATTGCGGTGTGCCTTTTTTTGTGGCAGGACTTAAAATTCTTCAGTGCCAGTCATATAGAGGAAGAGGAGGCAGAAAGAAAAAGGAGATAAAAATTGAGGTAAGACAATGAAATGATTGGACAAAGTCATTAAGAAACACCAGGGGCAGCTCCAGAAGTTTTATATAGGAGGGACTTAGGGGTGGCATTCTTGTTGGAAGGACGGGTTAGGAACTTTTCTTGAAGTAGTGTTATTATTATCATTATTTAGGTGGCTTTGGGGGCTGGCAGATCATAAATTCTATTTTTAATAATACCATAGGGTTCTGTACTTTTTTTTCATATACAGTAGACCCTCGATTATCGGCCGTAATTCGTTCCAGAAGGTCGGCCTAAAACCGAAATGGCCTAAAACGGAAATAATATTTCCCATAAGAATTAATGTAGATACAATTAATCTGTTCCAGACACCCAATAATATTAACAAAAAATACATTTTTTAAAGATTAATTATAGTTTTACATTCACAAAACAATGAGAACTAAATAAAATAAATAAATGAACATTTAAATCACTATGACATACCTTTATTGAAGATTCTTGTTGGCTTATGGAATACAGGGAGGAGGAGAGAGGGAGGGCTGATTATTGTTTGGAAGGGAAATCCCCCTCCATAAGGACTTGAGGTATCAAAGCCCTCTCTGGAGTTACTTCCCTCCCTGCCTGCTATGCTCCTTGCATGCCTGCTACACTACCTGCCTTCCTCCTACACTCCCTTCTACACTTTGCCTCCCTACTACACTCCCTGCTACACTCCCTCCCTCCATGCTACCCTCCCTACATGCCTGCTACACTCCATGCCTTCCTCCTACACTCCATGCCTTCCTCCTGCACTCCATGCCTTCCTCCTACACTCCCTGTTACACCCTGCCTGCCTGCTACACTGTCTGTCTCCCTGCTACACTCCCTCCATGCTATGCTCCCTGCCTGCCTGCTACACTCCCTGCCTCCCTTCCACACTCCCTGCCTCCCTTCCACACTCCCTGTTTCCCTGCTAAACTCCCTTTTGCAACATTAGCTTCCTTGATGTTTGGATGAATGAGCAGAAGTGTCCTCACTCGCCCAGAGACACAGCCAGACTGACTCACGAATGCGCGAGTGGCTGGCAGGCAGGTGGGCTGACACGTCCCATATGGCTGATAAGCGAAATAATGGCTGATAACCGGAAGCCAAAAAAACGGCTGATAACCGAGTTGGCCGACAAGCGGAACGGCCGATAACCACGGGTCCACTTTATTGGCATAATACTGTCTTTTTAAAGATTGGCCTCAGGTTATTATCAGTGAAGCTCCAGATGTTGCCTACTTTATTTTGCTCATTCAGCTGACTGGCTCAGGAGCAGGTGTGATTGGCGAGGCTGGTGTGGGAGATGCTGGAGGAGATGAGGAAGACCCCTTGGAAACAAAGCCGATGGTTAAGAAAAAGAAGAAAGCTGGCCGAGCCCATAAGGTTGGGTGTACTGCCACCATCATCATGAAGGAAGTCATATATTACCCTGAGTTCCAGGTTAGTTTGAGTAATACACAACTTTATATTATAAAGCTCTGTAATAGGTTAGTTATGCATTATTACACATGAAACATGTATAATGATTTTTATTTTCTAATAATATACTGCACCAGTAACTTATCTCTTTTTGTTTGTTATGAATGTGGTCCTTTGCCCACTCCCATATATGTTCTATTGAACTTTTTCACAGTTCTTGTTTTCACATACTGTACCCAACTTCACATTTCTTTTAATTTTCTCACAGTCTGCACAGTCAGCTATCACTATTTCCCTGCCCCAATACAGGGGGGGGGGGGGCCACTTTACAGCATTTTGCTAATGCTGCAGTTTTCACTTGCACCCATTCTTCATTTATTCAGACTTCCTACAATAAATATATTCACCACTATAAGCTGAGGACAAAAATATTTTAAGGTAAGTAATGTGTGTACTGTATATGCATTTTTAAGCCTAGCTCTATTCCTTTTTAATATATGATAGTGTAAACATGTTATCAGGTTGTGATATGCATTTGAAAGTGAAAAAAGGCTGTTTCACTTTACAGCGATTTTCGCTTTACAATAGTAGCCCAGAACCTAATTGGCTGTATAAGCAGGGCGCTCCTGTATATCTTTCCCTTTAATTTTGAGTGCTTTATTTCCCATTCATTTAATACTTAATTGGTTCTTATTGTTTCCATTTTTGTTTTTATCTTTCATTTGATGTTGACCACGCCTTTAATTATAATTTGTATCTTTAAATTTTTATTTCTGTACCTAAGAAACAATTGATTATACAGTGCAGTTTTTTTTTTTTGTAGTTGTTTGTCATTTTACCATATTTTGTACTTCTTTTCCTTGCTTTATAATCATCTGGGAATGTGTTGAGGTTATCATTGCTGTGTTTGGATTGATCACTATCATTTGCAAAATAAATGAAAGCCCCTTCTTCTTTCAACAAACCAGCTGTGTTTCACCAAGGCAGGGTGGCTCTAAAGGAAAAATGAAAGTTTCTCCATTTAAATTTAGTAATAAATATATACAGGAGAAGGGGTTATTAGCCCCTTGCTCCCTGAAAGCTCCATCTGTTTGAATAATATTAGCTGTAAATGGCATTTTCTCTGTTCATTGAGACATTGATCATTATTTTTCTTAGTTGTAACTCTCAAAGCTGCAAATTCACAACTCAGTGTGCTGAACTTATGAAAAGATATATCAGCCAGCAGGATTAACAAATAACCAATCTCCATATCTGCAAGGTGATAAAACAAATAAGTGTGTGTGAGCATGTTATATAGGAATGAGTGGAGACGAGTGGTTTTTATGACTTGACATGCTGCTGGAGTGTGAGCAAGGTAACATTTATGAAGGGATTCAGGGAAATTGGCAGACCAGACTTTAGTCCTGGAGGTGGGAAGTACAGTGCCTGCACTCTGAAGGAGGGGTGTTAATGTTGCAGTTTTATACAACTAAGTGTAAGCAAACCTCTGGCAAAACAGCGAAAGAGTGAGTGATGACGAAAGTGTTTCTTCTCTTTCGGGCCTTCCTGCCTTGGTGGGAAACGGCCAGTGTGTTAAAAAAAAAAAATTAACGTAAACATGTGGAATGTTCTAATCTCATAAAATTTGTTTAAGAACATGAGCGCAACAAACCCTTCATTAACGGACGTGGGGAGTAGGGATGGCCAGTAATAGCAGTATTGTGGTATAGAGAAAACATTTTTTTGCTGTGATTGTAACATTAATGAACAATTCTATGACCAAAAGACTTAGTCCATTTTATTGAAATCTAGTGACCAACAGGAGTGTACTGCACTGGGAGTTGATCTTCCTTAGTTAAAAAAATTAAATGCAGTAAACCCTTTTTATAATGGACTTTGACATGATTAACTTTTGAAATAATGAGCAAAATTTGCTAGGTAAATTGTAATTTTAACTCCTTTATTTTTAATATTTTTGTAGCTTATCTGTAAATTCTATGTACAGTAGAACCTCGGTTTTCATTTGCCCTGGTTTTTGTCGAATTCAGTGTTCGATGACTTTTTTCGTTAAAATTTTGTCCCAGTTTTTGTTCATCACCTCGGTTTTCGTCTGCCTTACCGAACGTGTCCACCTGTCCGCGCCCACACAAAGCATTCCACGCATGCGTTCCGAGTCAGTCTGGCTTTGTTTCTCATTGAGTGAACATTACCCTGCGCTTTCATATGAAACATTTTGTAATAATCCATTGTTATTTGTGCTTGTTTATTGAGTTCGACTGCTAAATAAGCCACCATGGGGCCAAAGAAAGTTCTGAGTGCCAGTCCTTTGATAAAGAAAGCGAGAAATTGTGGCCATAATGTGTCCAGGAGAAGGATTTTGAAGAGTTTGAGGCAGACCCTGACAACCCTACACCTGTTATGGAATCTATTGTGGCTTTGGGGAAGTCCATGGAGTTGGGTATGAGTGGTCAGGATGTGGAAGAGTTGGTGGATGACCACAGGGAAGAGCTAACCACTGAAGAGCTACAACACCTACAACTGGAACAGCAACAGATCGCAGCTTAGGAAATTGCTTCAGAGGAGGACGAAGAGAGAGGGGAGAATGTGCCTTCTTCAGTGATTTAGGGCATGTGTGCAAAGTGGAGTAAGTTGCAAAGTTTAGAAATATCACCCTAACAAAGCTGTTGCAAGGCATGTCTGCAACATGCTCAATGACAATGCCTTGTCCCATTTTAGGCAAATCTTAAAGAGATGCCAGAAACAGACCTCTCTGGACAGATTTTTTATGCGACAAGGGTCCAGTGACTCTTAAGCTGGTCCTATTGCCAGTAAAAGACAAAGAAGGGACGTAACCCCAGATAGGGACTTGATACCTGAAGTCCTTATGGAAAAGGATTCCCCTTCCAATCAGTAACCTCTCCTCCCTCTTCCCTCCTCGTCGTCTTCCATACGCCAACAAGAGTCTTCAATAAAGGTAAAAGTTATGTTAAATGTTTGTTTATCCATTTCATTGGTCCTTTGTATTTCTCATTGTTTTCTGTATGTACAACTATAGTTATTTTCTATAAAATGTATTTTTTGTTAATACTTTTGGGCGTCTGGAACGGATTAATTGGATTTACATTATTTCTTATGAGAAATATTGCTTCAGTTTTCATCAGACTTTCTGGAACAAATTAAAGACGAAAACCGAGGTTCCACAGTATAGCACTATATTAAGTACAGCCTCTCCTCACTTAACAACGGAGTTCCATTCCTAAGACCACATTGGTAAACGAATTCGTTGCTAAGCAAGGAGCATACTATAATGGTAGTGGGTTTGTGTCAACCATCTTTGATATTCTTTTAATGTCATCTTTGCACCATTTATAATATTTTTGTGTATTTTTAAATGTTTATACAGTAGTGTACTGTATATTGTAATAAACAGAATAGAGGAAATCAGCTCTAGTATACATTATTTAGGTATGCATGCTGGTCAGAGAGCCCGTATAAGTCTGAATCGTCAGTAAACGAATGCGTCGCTAAGTGAGGAGAGTTAACAGACACTTGAACAGTCCCTTCCATTACTCCATATTGTGAGTTTACCATTAAACTTACTATCTTAGAAAGCTGTTCAGTACAAATTTAATTTTATATAGGAAGGCCTTGTTATGGACCGGGAGCATTGATCCCTGGATTACCCTCATGTAGACTCCTGGTAGTTCAGGCCTGTAAACTGTTAAACTGGAAGAAAGCATATTTATTGATTACATCCTTTTTATTGATATAGCTTTATAAACCTTGCCTATGAGTTTGATGCTGTTTGATGTATGTATGCATCTCTTCAGTGTCATGGCTAATCAATTTCATTCTTCAACAGCTTTTTGAACATTCAAAAAATAATCGCATAGCTGTTGCACGGCAGCTCAAAGATGCATTGAAGTCAAAGGCTCCTGTGCAGAAGGATCGCATAATTTATGTGACAGTACCAGCAATGTCTGACCATTTTGGTCACTCTGTTGGACTGGTAAGTTGAAGTATTTTAATTTTCTTTGTAATTACTTCTATAATATTTGATAATAAATTTTTTTTAATTGTTTACGAATTCCTATAGCTTGAAATGTATATAAAATGAATTTTATCTGTACTTTATTACCATTTAAAATGAAATATATTTCAAATTTATAGAATTTTAGAGCTAAAATAATTTCTTTTGTTCTGTTATTTGGCAACAGGGCACCACTAAGGTTAGTATTTTCTGTTTACTTGTTACTATAGTAAGTCAAAATGATTAAATTATTGTGGAATAATTTTTTGTGAATGATTTTTAAAGTAAAGCCAATATGATGTATTGTATCCTTTAACTTATGTACAGTACTGTATTATTATTCATACTAAATTTACTTGCTTATAAAGAAAAATTTTTATGAGATACAGAACAGTATCTCATAATGTACAGTACATTGCACAGTGCTTTTTTCTTGTATTTTACCAGTACTCACTCGTATGTGTTCACCTGTGTGTGGCTGCACGGGTTGAATCTCAGCTCTAGCCCTGCATCTCAACTTTCTGCTTGCAAAATTCACTTCTTCCTAGCTTCATGGGCCCTATCATACCTGCTTCCACTACTTCACCAAAATCATTCCACTTTCCGACCACCCTAAGACTTTTAAGAAATACTTCCTGACATCCCAGTGACTCATCTGTTCCAGAGTTCCTATTTATCACCTCTCAAACAACCTGTCCCCTCTACCCTATCATTTCCCTGAGTAATTTGTATGTTGTTATATCTTCCCTGATTCTTCTGTCCTTGAATGTTTTTAGAATTAATTCCATTATCCTCTCCTTATAGCTCATACCTCTTAACTGAGGAACAAGCCTTGTGTACTTCTCCACTTTCTCCAGCTTTTTAATGTGCTTCCTGTGATGTACATAAAGTGCCCAGGAAGACTCTGTTGAGATTCATGAAGGCCACTCTTAGATTTGCTTGGTGAGCATTGGCTGCAGAGGTTATTCAGTTCATGTGATTCTCCAATGAAATGCTAGGCACTCTGTTGCTTCGTATCCTTTGATTATAATACATAATAATAATAATAATAATAATAATAATAATAATAATAAGCACTCTGTACCCCCCAGAGGTCAAAAAACCTTTTCCCCTTGGGGACATAACCGTATCCAGTCTTCTTTTTTTTTCCTAAACCTTCGGGGATTTTTGCATTTCTCAACATTTTTTGTCAGATTCTTTGCATCCTTTCCCCTGTCCTCTTTCTTTCTTTTTCAACCCCGGGCCCCGTATCCACAAGGAGGGTGACCCAAAAAGAAAAACGAAATTTTCTCTTTTAAATTTTAGTAATTTAATGGGAGAAGGGGGTTAACCCCTTGTCCTGGCATTTAGTCGCTCTTCAACACCATGGCTTCGGGGGAAGATTTGTTCCATTTCCCACTGGAGATAAGAGGAAAAAAACAAGAAAAGAACTAGAAAGAAAATAGAAGAATACCAGAGGGGTGTGTATATATATGTTGTAATGTATGTGTGTGTGATCTAAGTGAAAGTAGAATTTTAGCAAGACATACCTGAAATCTTACATGTTTTTGAGACAGAAAAAAGGACCCCAAAAATCCTGCCATCATGTAAAAACAATTACTTTCCTGTCCTCATTTTTTAATTCTCATCAGTTTTTACGTCATCGCAACAGGAATTTTGACCAGTTAGAGGGAAATACTTTCACATAAACCCAGAAATAGTACTGGTCATAATATCAGTCCTTGGGGCACCTGCTTGTTTCACTTTCCTTTCTGTTATTGGTATGTTCATAAACCTTTGGGAAATTAGTGAACCCTACTCCAGGCAAACATCCCCTATTAATAGAAGTTGCTACTCATCTTTTTAATATTTAACGACATTTGGTCCCTTTTCCCATAACCCAAAAAATTGAAGGAAAGTAATAATGTCCCCGAAAAAATATCAAAAGTTTTTTAAAGGTTTTGCACATTGGTGGGAAAGGGCCCTAGTCCCAAATCAAAAAATTGAAAAATTTATTTTACCCCCGAGAAGAGGCCTTTCTTTTTTTATCCTGGGTTTTAAAGTAGTTAATCACATTGTGCTTCTAAACTGTTGTGTTCTAGGCACCTCTGCAAAAACAGTGATTATGTATAAGTGAGGTGAAAGTGTTGAATGATGATGAAAGTATTTTCTTTTTGGGGATTTTCTTTCTTTTTGGGTCACCCTGCCTCGGTGGGAGACGGCCGACTTGTTGAAAAAAAAAAATCACATTGTGCTGGAATGTATTACATAGTAGTCTGCCTCATGATGACTCCCACCTCAGTTCTCTTCTAACCACACACTGAACCTGACTTAGATTTTTTTTTTTTTTTTTTTTTGCAACTGGAAACTTCAGCAGGTTCTCTTTCCATATTTATGAAGTTTTAATTTGTTTCAAAATGTGTAGCCAGTTTTACAAATACAGTGGACCCCCGCTTAACGATCACCTCCAAATGCGACCAATTATGTAAGTGTATTTATGTAAGTGCATTTGTACGTGTATGTTTGGGGGTCTGAAATGGACTAATCTACTTCACAATATTCCTTATGGGAAAAAATTCGGTCAGTACTGGCACCTGAACATACTACTGGAATGAAAAAAGTTCGTTAACCGGGGGTCCACTGTACAGTGGACCCCCGCATAGCGATCACCTCCGAATGCGACCAATTATGTAAGTGTATTTATGTAAGTGCGTTTGTACGTGTATGTTTTTGGGGTCTGAAATGGACTAATCTACTTCACAATATTCCTTATGGGAACAAATTCGGTCAGTACTGGCACCTGAACATACTTCTGGAGTGATAAAATATCGTTAACCGGGGGTCCATTCATCACTCTTACATTGAGCTTCAAAAGTTTATGACCTCCTTCTGTTCCATTTTCCTGAATTTAGTCTGAATGCTTTTCATCCCCCTAACCCACAAGCGCTGTATAATACCAATTGGTTTAGCTCTCCCCATGTTGATAATAATATGGTGTACTTCAGGACTGAAGTGTATGTGCCACTTTAATAATAATTAGACAGGGATATGTGATATCACAATTATTTAATATTCATAGATAAGGGTTGCAAAAGAAGTGAATGCTAGGGTGTTGGGGAGAGGTGTTGGATTAAATGATGAGGAATTAATTATATTTAGGTAGTAGGTTGGTAGACAGCAACCGCCCAGGGAGGTACTACCGTCCTGCCAAGTGAGTGTAAAACGAAAGCCTGTAATTGTTTTACATGATGGTAGGATTGCTGGCGTCCTTTTTTCTGTCTCATGAACATGCAAGATTTCAGGTACGTCTTGCTACTTCTACTTACACTTAGGTCACACTACACATACATGTACAAGTCTTGGTATGGGGGAGTGTGAGGGAAAAGTTCAACAGATAGGAGTAGCTAGCGAGTATATGGTAATGATAGTTTGATTGCCAGCTGCTTGTTAAGGTAGGGTCAGTCTAGCTCCCACTATCCCCTCCCCCCCTTTCTCCCCACCCTGAAAGGTGATGTGTGGGGCTCCGGCCAAACAGTAATCACTTAACTCACAGCTCCCAGCACAACTGTAAGTAAAAGCCTCTGCTCCTATTCTAATGGATATTGGTTGAAAGCTTCACTTTTGACCAATAATAAACTTGGTCCTTTCAGTTTTAAGCTCCACATGAGACTTTTCGATAATCACCACCTTTTTTAAGTATCTTGCACTTATCATGGAGAGTGATTTCTTAAGCAGTGGGTAACCTGTCTCTCTTTCCAGCTTGGAATGACAGATCGGGTCACCTGCCAACCAACGAGAAGTGTTGAAGGAGACGGACTGAAACCGGTCGTGGGACGTCACCTTATAATCTACCTACCTGATTAATTGTACAGGACACTACCCCTCATCTTTGTAGTGGTAAAGAACCTGCTTTCCTGTCATCTGGACTGACTATTCAAGGCTATAGACTCTGTGAAGAACTAGTCGTTGGGTTGTCACTCAACACCTGTGACCCCCCCCCCATATCGTCATCAATGGCTACAATTTCTACAAGACGGTGTCAACATCAGCCAGACACCCCAGTTTACTTGTACATATTAGCGTTGAATTCAAATGTCATTTTTCCATTTCATTTTTCATTTTTCTTTCAAGTAGGATACACTTTCATTTTTAATGTTTTATCTTTGCATTACTAAATAATAAAGTGTTTATCTTTGTGAATTATTATTTCTTTTTCTATTCATTAATTTTCCTGAGGAGTAGCCAGCCTTGGTAATACTGTCTGAAGTTGTTACAGGGCTGAGTAAGACTTCACAAGTGGCGACCTTGCCAGGATCAACTCGACTGAATCAAGATTCGACTCCATCTCGAATCTACCATTGGAACTTCAACGCCGCATACCACAGACGGTTACCACCAGCCATGAGTAATCATTCTCTATAGTAGGACTACATTACAGGTATTTAAAAGATTTGGTGATTGTTATAGTCTCAATTTATTGTAAGTCAAGTCAGGCAGGATATACTAGTTAATTCTGTCACCTTTATTTTTGAGCTTGAAACGATTTGGAGGAATAGACTCTAGGGACCCAAGATTTTCCAGTGACAAGTTATTTCATTGAGCTTTATTTATTATATCAAGGGAACTGTCGTAGGACACTCTTGATTTGTTGGTGAGAAGATTGGATGGTCATGGGACCCCGTTCTACTTACTGTTTGCTCGGAGCCGGCATAGAACCCTCCGTTTTCATTCACACATACTGTTTAATTGAAGCAGGGATCGAACCCTCCGATTTATTTACAGTTTGAGCGGAGCAGGAATTGAACCCTCTGCTTTCTTTGATATATCTGTTTCATTTTTCCCCTAGTAGTTTAAGTTATTCTTGCAAGTATGGAGGAATACCAGTTTTGGATGAGCGTTGGGAGTAAGTTAGGAATAACGGGAAAAAATTTAGAAGCTTTCATTAGTGCTAAGATCCAGGAAAGAATGGAGAAGGAAAGAATTGAGAGAGAAGAAAGACAATTAGAAAGAGAAAGAGAGGAGAAAAAGGAGAGAGAGAGAGAATCGAAAGAGAGGAGAAAAGGAGAGAGAGGGAATCGAAAGAGAGGAGAAAAAGGAAAGAGATCGAATTGAAAGAGAAAATCAAGAAAGAGAAAGAGAGGAGAAAAAGGAGCGTGATAGACTTGATCTTGAGGAGAGAGCTAAAGTACATGAGGAACAAGTTAAATTAAGAGAACTTGAGGAAAGAGCAAAGGATAGAGAAGTTGAGGAAAGAGCTAGAGAACGTGAGGAAAGAGCTAGAGAACATGAGTTAAGAGAGAGAAAAAGATCGCTAGCTCGAAAAATCTCGCCTTGAATTAGAGAATAAAAAGTTAACTTTTACACAACAACAATTAGAGGAAGGAGTAATGGAACAACGTGCAGTCAGTGCACATATTTCAACACCTAATTTACCTCCCTTCACAGAGGGTGAAGACATTACTTCATACATTATCAGGTTTGAAAATACCGCTACCCTCTGTGAATGGCCTGCTGACACCTGGGCTACCAGGTTAAGTATGTTATTTTCTGGTACAGCTTTGAATATCTATGCAACTTTGTCGCAAGATATCATATATAATTATAACCTACTGAAGAAGCATATCAAAAAAACACAAATTCTTATAGGAAAGATTTCAGGTATGCCACCTTACAGCCTGGCCAAAACTTTCAGCAGTTACAGGTAACACTCTTTCGTTTGTTCGACTTTTGGATAGAGAGTTCAGGAATTGATCACAGTTATGAATCTCTTAGAGACTTCATGGTTGCTGACCAGTTCCTGACAGCTCTTCCCCACCAGATAAGAACATTCATTAGAGAACGTAACCTGATTAAAGCTGATGAAGTTGCTGAGGCCGCTGATTGTATGCTGAGGCTCACAATTCCTATAAAGACCTAAAGGGATCGAACCTTAAGGGCAATGGTTCACCTGAACCAAAGATTAAGAAGCCTACAGTAGAAACAAAGTCACCAGCTATTATACCAACATGTCATTGGTGTGGTGGTATCGGACTTAAACGTCCAGATTGTCCTTCCAAGAAAATAGAGAAAGTTGGTAGATGTTTTGTTGACGGTAATGACCAAGCACCCTTCTGTTCAGGAGAAGTTAATGGTATAAAAGTCTCAGACATATTACGTGACACTGGGTGTACGTGCATCGTAATTTCGGACAAACTGTTCCCTTACTTTAAAACCTCTTGTGTGTCCTCTATTCTTTCAGCTTACTTGGGTCGTGAAAATACTTTCCCTACAATACGTTGTTACTTGAAAACTAAATGGTTCACCGGTTGGACTAATGCGGTACTAGCCCCAATTACTTGTTCTATATAAGTGGGTAACATTAAAGGTGCTGTTCTTCCTTCAGAGGCGGATCTTTCGTCACCACCCGTGAATCTAAGTTTTCCAGCTCCTCTTCCTTGCAAATTAAATAAGCCCCTTAACAATTCCGCACCGGAAGCTGCATTGTCTCGTACTGTTCATTTGGGGGTGGAAACAGATGATACTGCTCTCGATAGTGAGGTAGCAGGATCACCTGTCCACTCGTCAGGTGAAAGTAAGGGTATTGACTCTGGCACTCTCAATGTCTTGACTAGGGCTCAGACCATAACCCTGGCTTCTCCTGCCTCCTCTTCTCCCACCGTAAGTCCTTTTATTTTCCCAGATTTTATGTCCAAGGATGACTGTCAATATACAGCGCGATTGCCCTTCAATTCGGGATTGTCATAATCAAGCTTTTAACAACAAAGATATCCACGGGAGATACATATCTCATAAGTTTGAATATATAAATGGTATCTTATATGAATCTGTATTTAAATCTCATTCTTCAGCGATAGATTTTTCCCTCCTTGTTGTTCCTAAACCATGTCAAGAGACTGTTCTTCAAATGGCTCATGATTTGCCAGTGACCAAACACTTGGCCCATCGTGAGACATGGCATAAACTCAAGCACACTTATTTTTGGCCAAGCATGTACTCTCAGGTTACAAAGAAGTATAGTTCTTGCAATAGGTGTCAGGTGCTTACTGCACAAAATACACACTCCTAGTTCCTGTCTATTTATTAAATTTAAAACTTCCCTCCTGCAGAAACGAGATTCTCCACCATAGAAAAGGAATGTTTGGCCCTTGTGTGGGGTATCTCCAAACTTAAATTTTATTTACTGGGAAGAGAATTTATTTTAGAAACGGATCACAAACCTTTGATATACCTAGAAACTTTTAAGGGAACCAACAGTCGCCTCTTAAGGTGGACATTGGCACTCCAAGCTTTTAAGTTTCATATTGTGTATATCATTGGTTCATCCAATTATTTTTCTAACTGGTTAAGTCGTGACAGTCAGTAGAAGATTTGTTGCCTTACGCGACTTCTACGTGTTAGAACTTTTTCCTCCCCTATTCTTCTTATACTCCTTGACTATAAGTCTTGGTATGGGGGAGTGTGAGGGAAAAGTTCAACAGATAGGAGTAGTGAGCGAGTATATGATGACGATAGTTTGATTGCCGGCTGCTTGTTAAGGTAGGGTCAGTCAAGCTCCCGCTATCCCCTCCCCCCCCTTTCTCCTCACCCCGAAAGGTGACGTGTGGGGCTCCGGCCAAACAGTAATCACTCGACTCACAGCTCCCAGCACAACTGTAAGTAAAAGCCTCTGCTCCTATTCTAGTGGATATTATTTGAAAGCTTCACTTTTGACCAATAATAAACTTGGTCCTTTCAGTTTTAAGCTCCACATGAGACTTTTCGATAATCACCACCTTTTTTAAGTATCTTGCACTTATCATGGAGAGTGATTTCTTAAGCAGTGGGTAACCTGTCTCTCTTTCCAGCTTGGAATGACAGATCGGGGTCACCTGCCAACCAACGAGAAGAGTTGAAGGAGACGGACTGAAACGGTCTTGGGACGTCACCTTATAATCTACCTACCTGATTAATTGTACAGGACACTACCCCTCATCTTTGTAGTGGTAAAGAACCTGCGTTCCTGTCATCTGGACTGACTATTCAAGACTATAGACTCTGTGAAGAACTAGTCGTTGGGTTGTCACCAACACCTGTGACCCCTCCCCACATAATCATCAACGGCTACAATTCCTACAAGACTGTGTCAACATCAACCAGACACCCCAGTTTACTTGTACATATTAGTGTTGAATTCAAATGTCATTTTTCCATTTCATTTTTCATTTTTCTTTCAAGTAGGATGCACTTTCATTTTTATTGTTTTATCTTTGCATTACTAAATAATAAAGTGTTTATCTTTGTGAATTATTTCTTTTTCTATTCATTAATTTTCCTGGGGAGGAGCCAGCCTTGGTAATACTGTCTGAAGTTGTTACAGGGCTGAGTAAGTCTTCACACCTCCACTACAGAAGTCACTGTTTCGTTCCATTCTCTCTACATGTCCGAACCACCTCAACAACCCCTCCTCAGCTCTCTGGATAATAGTTTTGGTAATCCTGCACCTCCTCCTAATTTCCAGACTATGAATTCTCTACATTACATTCACACCACTCATTGCCCTCAGACATGACATCTCCACTGCCTCCAGCCTTCTCCTTGTTGGAACATTTGTCGCCCATGCTTCACACCTATGTATGAGTGTTTGTATAACTGTACTCTCATACATTCCCCTCTTTGCTTCCAGGGACAAAGTTCTTTGTCTCCACAGACTCCTAAGTGCACCACTCACCCTTTTCCCTTCATCAGTTCTGTGATTCACCTCATCCTTCATAGTCCCATCTGCTGACACGTCCACTCCTAAATATCTGAATACATTCACTTAAATAATAATAATAATAATATATTAAAAATATGCTCACAACAGGCAATATTGAATTTACTGTTAAAATATTTTCTACTTTTTCTTTGATTTTTATAACTTGTTTTAGCAAGCAGTGAAATGACCATACAGTACATATACAACTTTTGAAACATTATTTTCATCCCAGTGAAACCCTTCTGAATTTTCAAGCCATTTTAATTATGTTTTTGCAGCCGGGAACAAAGAGGCTGTTTGTGAAAAATGATTTCTATGGTCATAATGAACCAGGTTCAAGCAAGCGAGTCTATTATCCTGTCAAGCAAGAGAAACTAAATGTGCCACAGTTGACTAAACGTATGAAAGTAGACGAAGATGACACTGAGGCTAGAGCCAAGGAAGTGCGCGAGATGTTGCAAAGTATCATGGGACTTACTTACAAGGTGAGTTTTATACATAGTAATTTGTAACATTTTGTAACCACAGGCTGATTTTCAAGCCAAAACAAAGGAAATCACTTGCTCAAAACACACTAAATAACAGGTAATTAAGTTTTTTTTTTTTTTTTTTTTTTTTTTTTTTTTTTCAAATTTAAAAGTTAAGATTCTACTGTATTTGAAGGAAACTTATTAATTTAGATGATAGGACTTTAGTCCTGGTGGTGTAAAGTCCAGTGCCTTCACTCTGAGCGAGAGGTGAGGATGTTGAGGTTCACAGGGTCATCTGAACTGTGGGATTAACATTCTTCTGTTAAGACAGGAATTGAATGAATGACAGGGAAGGGGGTTTCCTCTTTTTTATTTCTGGGTCACCCTGCCTTGGTGGGAAATGACTGGTGCATTTATGAAGCAATTAGAAATGTTAGGCTTCTTACAACTTTAGAAAATGGTAGTCTACTTAAAAAACTCATAGATATTAGATTACTAACTTGGATGATTGATACAAAAAACTCGCCTATTTTCCTAGGGATTAAGATAATTGAGGCCAAATAATTTACAGTGATACCCTTTCTCCCTGTCTGTAGCCCTGCCTCTTATCTCAGGTGGGAGAAATACTAGCTCCTGGTCTTTTCAAAGAGAGTGCCATGATGTTAGAGAATGGCTCTTGATCCAAGGAGTTAAAGCTACCCTTCACTTGGATCAAATCTGATTATCTCCCATTCCCTAATTGCTTTATAAACCCAAGAGGGTTTGTTATTACTGTTCTTACTGTTGAACAGCGGTTTAGTGCTGAAGGGGTAGTGTAGGTAGCAAAGATACGGCCGTAGACTAGATTGCTTTTAATTGGAGAGAAGTGAGTACACAACGGGCAAAGTGAGGGAATGACCAATAGCCAGTCCATGGAGGGGAGCTTGTTGAACCCGTGTGGGTAGGCTGTGAAGTGAGGACGAGTGGGCCTAGCGTTCTACTGACCTGGGCAGGCCTAGAGAGGGCAGCACTGGAGTGCCGTGGGATATGAAACTAGCAGACAGAATTGGCTGTCTACAGGTTTAGCAGTTCCAAGTGAATTTAATAATAGATGCCTGATTGAATGGATACCTGTAGGAAATAAAGTTATTAGTAATTTAGCTTATTATTATTATTAAAGTACTAAGATTATAGTCAGTGTATGTACTAGGTAAGTGATAAAGTGATTAGCTTTCTTTAGACTTTTTTTATATTATTATGTACATGAATTACAGAAAGGTGCAATTTCATGACTGGAACAGTACACAAATAGCTCACACATAGTAGTAAGGAGATGATGATGATGATGTTTAAGTTGTCATAAGCTCCTCTCTCCTATGTGCGAGTTATTTGTGTATTATGTATTTGACTCCTTCCTCTGTAAGCCATGCATGTCATAAGAGGTGACTACAATGCCAGGAGCAAGGTGCTAGTAACCCTTCTGTGTAAATCTTTATACTAAATATAAAAAGAAAAAACTTTTGTTTCTTCCTCCCATTTCCCTTGTGCTGTATAACCCTTAGAGTTTTAGTGATTCTCAGTGAATATAATAATAAAAATATTAAAAAATATCCTTTAACTATAGACAGTTTAAAGTCTGATATATAACCTTCAAGGAAATCCACATAGGTACTGCTCAGTTCTAATGGATTAAAAAAGCCACTTTTGGCTAAACTTTTCCTTTAATAAATTTCTTGTATGGTACATAAGCATCTTTTTCCTATCTTGTCAGTGTCACCATATCATTCACTTTTATAACTTTGAAGGTTCATTGTTTCTCAAGTTGATATAGTAATTGTTTTGTACAGCAACCTGGAACAACTGAAGCATACTGTCAACTTTATAAAGACTTGATGCAAGCCAAGCTTAAGTATCAGCAGACAATGGACACATTACTTGGAGGTGCCCATGTTACACAAATCCATGTAGTAGATGGATTAGTAGGACAGAATGGAGATAACCAAGGTAACGTAAAAATTTTCCAAATCCTGATATCTAGAAAATATTTTTCTCTATTCTTTCTTTTAAAGATGGTGTCCTAACAACAAAACACAGTTTACCCAATTATTTATTATATTGCAGGGTAGGGGCTTGGACATTAAGTAGGTATGTGAGTGTGATAGATTGGAGCGAGTAGAGGCAAGAGGCTTTTTTGATATTTGAGATATACAGTGTTGGTACTCTGAAAGTAGGGTGGTGGTCATTGTAGTGCTTGCATTGCTTTTCACTTTATGACCAGGAGAGAAGGAGATTACTTCCCAATAAAAGTAAGTATTAGACAGGGATGTGTAATATCACCATGGTTGTTTAGCATATTTATAGATGGGGTTGTAAAAGAAGTAAATGCTAGGGTGTTGGGGAGAGGGGTGGGATTAAATTATGGGGAATCAAATACAAAATTGGAGTTGACAGTTACTTTTTGCTTTTGGGGCATTCTAAAGAAAAGTTACAAAGGTTAGTGGATGAGTTTAGGAGGGTGCATAAAGGTAGAAAGTTGAAAGTAAACATAGATAACAGTAAGGTGATGAGGGTATCAAACGATTTAGATAAAAATTAAATATCACATTGGAGGGAGGGAGGAAGTATGGAAGTGAATTATTTTTATTATTTATTATTTTTTATTATCACACTGGCCGATTCCCACCAAGGCAGGGTGGCCCGAAAAAGAAAAACTTTCACCATCATTCACTCCATCACTGTCTTGCCAGAAGGGTGCTTTACACTACAGTTTTTAAACTGCAACATTAACACCCCTCCTTCAGAGTGCAGGCACTGTACTTCCCATCTCCAGGACTCAAGTCCGGCCTGCTGGTTTCCCTGAACCCCTTCATAAATGTTACTTTGCTCACACTCCAACAGCACGTCCAGTATTAAAAACCATTTGTCTCCATTCACTCCTATCAAACATGCTTACGCATGCCTGCTGGAAGTCCAAGCCCCTCGCACACAAAACCTCCTTTACCCCCTCCCTCCAACCTTTCCTAGGCCGACCCCTACCCCGCCTTCCTTCCACTACAGACTGATACACTCTTGAAGTTATTCTGTTTAGCTCCATTCTCTCCACATGTCCGAACCACCTCAACAACCCTTCCTCAGCCCTCTGGACAACAGTTTTGGTAATCCCGCATCTCCTCTTAACTTCCAAACTACGAATTCTCTGCATTATATTCACACCACACATTGCTCTCAGACATGACATCTCCACTGCCTCCAGCCTTCTCCTCGCTGCAACATTCATCACCCATGCTTCACACCCATATAAGAGCGTTGGTAAAACTATACTCTCATACATTCCCCTCATTGCCTCCAAAGACAAAGTTCTTTGTCTCCACAGACTCCTAAGTGCACCACTCACCCTTTTCCCCTCATCAATTCTATGATTCACCTCATCTTTCATAGACCCATCCGCTGACACGTCCACTCCCAAATATCTGAATACATTCACCTCCTCCATACTCTCTCCCTCCAATCTGATATCCAATCTTTCATCACCTAATCTTTTTGTTATCCTCATAACCTTACTCTTTCCTGTATTCACTTTCAATTTTCTTCTTTTGCACACCCTACCAAATTCATCCACCAATCTCTGCAACTTCTCTTCAGAATCTCCCAAGAGCACAGTGTCATCAGCAAAGAGCAACTGTGACAACTCCCACTTTATGTGTGATTCTTTATCCTTTAACTCCACACCTCTTGCCAAGACCCTCGCATTTACTTCTCTTACAACCCCATCTATAAATATATTAAACAACCACGGTGACATCACACATCCTTGTCTAAGGCCTACTTTTACTGGGAAATAATTTCCCTCTTTCCTACATACTCTAACTTGAGCCTCACTGTCCTCGTAAAAACTCTTCACTGCTTTCAGTAACCTACCTCCTACACCATACACCTGCAACATCTGCCACATTGCCCCCCTATCCACCCTGTCATACGCCTTTTCCAAATCCATAAATGCCACAAAGACCTCTTTAGCCTTATCTAAATACTGTTCACTTATATGTTTCACTGTAAACACCTGGTCCACACACCCCCTACCTTTCCTAAAGCCTCCTTGTTCATCTGCTATCCTATTCTCCGTCTTACTCTTAATTCTTTCAATAATAACTCTACCATACACTTTGCCAGGTATACTCAACAGACTTATCCCCCTATAATTTTTGCACTCTCTTTTATCCCCTTTGCCTTTATACAAAGGAACTATGCATGCTCTCTGCCAATCCCTAGGTACCTTACCCTCTTCCATACATTTATTAAATAATTGCAGCAACCACTCCAAAACTATATCCCCACCTGCTTTTAACATTTCTATCTTTATCCCATCAATCCCGGCTGCCTTACCCCCTTTCATTTTACCTACTGCCTCACGAACTTCCCCCACACTCACAACTGGCTCTTCCTCACTCCTACAAGATGTTGTTCCTCCTTGCCCTATACATGAAATCACAGCTTCCCTATCTTCATCAACATTTAACAATTCCTCAAAATATTCCCTCCATCTTCCCAATACCTCTAACTCTCCATTTAATAGCTCTCCTCTCCTATTTTTAACTGACAAATCCATTTGTTCTCTAGGCTTTCTTAACTTGTTAATCTCACTCCAAAACTTTTTGTTATTTTCAACAAAATTTGTTGATAACATCTCACCCACTCTCATTTGCTCTCTTTTTACATTGCTTCACCACTCTCTTAACCTCTCTCTTTTTCTCCATATACTCTTCCCTCCTTGCATCACTTCTACTTTGTAAAAACTTCTCATATGCTAACTTTTTCTCCCTTACTACTCTCTTCACATCATCATTCCACCAAGTGAATGTGAATGTTTTCAGATATTTGGGAGTTGACTTGTCAGCAGATGGGCTTATGAAGGATGAGGTTAACCATAGAATTGATGAAAGAAAAAAGGTGAGTGATGTGTTGAGGTATCTGTGGAGACAAAAAACATTATCTATGGAGGCAAAGAAGGGAATGTACGGGAGTATAGTGGTACCAACACTCTTATATGGGTGTGAAGCATAGCTTGTAAATGCTGCAGCGAGGAGGTGGCTGGAGGCAGTGGAGATGTCCTGTCTAAGGGAATTAGGAGGAGGTGTGGTTACTAAAATTATTAGTCAGAGGTGGTTTGGTCATTTAGAGAGATTGGAGAGCATATAAATATGCAGGGGAAGGAAGGTAGGGTAGGGGTCGTCCCCAAAAAGGTTGGAGGGAGGGGTTAAAGGAGGTTTTGTGAGCAAGGGGCTTGGACTTCCAGCAAGTGTGTGTGAGTGTGTTAGATAGGAGTGAATGGAGGCAAATGGTTTTTGGGACCTGACAAGCTGTTGGAGTGTATGCAGGGTAATATTTTGTGAAGGGATTCAAGAGAACTGGTTAGCCGGACTTGAGTCTTGGAAATTGGTAGTACAGTGCCTGCACTTTAAAGGAGGGGTTTGGGATATTGGCAGTTTGGAGGGATATCTAAACTATTGTATCTGAGTGCCTCTGCAAAGACAGTGATTATGTATGAAGGATGGTGAAAGAGTTGAATGACGATGAAGGTATTTTTCTTTCTTTTTGGGTCACCCTGCTTCAGTGGGAAATGGCCGATGTGTTAAAAAGAAAAATAAGTAATAACATATAAATAAGCAAAAAAAATACATATTTTTTAAAAAGTTTCATGTTATATTTTTAAATTTAATTTTCATCTATTGCATAATTTTTCGTTTTATTGCAAAAATAATTTCTGAAAAGTGATTGTCTGACAGAGCCCAATCCATAGAAGTGTTGCTGCTATAATAGATGGGGTGTACAGTAATGCATCAGTACTGTACTTTCGTACCAGATGCATATATAAATAAGTATGAAATCCTATACCCTGGTTAAAATTTCTGATATTTCCAACATAATTTAAAATACATGCATTTGGTGCTACAAATTCTTTTCAGCACTTCACCAGACTGTCCAGATTTTTCTTTACAGTTAACAGTCATTCATTAGGTAATCAAGGGTTAGAACACTGTCAAAATAATTTCAGTATAGTATGCATCTTTCCTCATGTCGTTTTTTTTTCTAACTACGTGTATTAGTCTTGAAATTTGTTTTTCTGTTTTCTTTTTTATTCATTAAGCTTTTCACTTATGTATCTAACTCTCCCTGTAATTAATCTTGAAATTTGTTTTTCTATTTTATTTTTATTTAAGATGTTCTTATTCAGGAAGCTTTTCATTTGTTGCCTCTGGCAAGACATTGATGGAGTGAATGATGATGAAAGTGTTTTCTTTTTTGGATCACCCTGTCTCGGTGGTACACAGCCATTGTGTTAATAAAAACATTTCTGTCCACGTAATTAATCCTGTTTTTTCTATTTCCCCTTTTTTTTATCCAAGAAGTAGGTCATGGTGAACGAAATGAAGATTCATGGTCAGTAGCCAGAACAGATGTAGTAGTGACTACTACTGCAGGACCTTCAGCCACTCTGCCTCCTGTCTCGTCCGTCACCACTACCACAACCATCGCAGCTGCAGCTCAGGTTCAGCAGAACCCCACTGTGGCTACAACAGCCACCACAACTGCTGATGGCAATAATCAGGAAACTAGTATCTTCATTGAGGCTATGGAAGCTATTCTTAATTCACAGATGTAAAATTTGACTTGACAGAATGTTTATAACTAGATTTTACACATATTCATGAATTATGGGCAAAATCACTATAGGCTTTTGTCATTTATTACAGAATTGGTGTTAATTTAGCATTGTCATCATCATCATTAACTAGATTTCTTACTTTCATAAGGTTGGAAGGCACTTGTCCAGAAAGGATGAAAACTGTGTTTGGTAAAGAAGATAAAGATATTCATATTAACCAGTCTTAAATGTTCCTCACATATTTTCTTCATTAACTGTCTTTCTGTAAATATGTATCTAATCTACACATTTTATTATTATTATCACACTGGCCGATTCCCACCAAGGCAGGGTGGCCCGAAAAAGAAAAACTTTCACCATCATTCACTCCATCACTGTCTTGCCAGAAGGGTGCTTTACACTACAGTTTTTAAACTGCAACATTAACACCCCTCCTTCAGAGTGCAGGCACTGTACTTCCCATCTCCAGGACTCAAGTCCGGCCTGCCGGTTTCCCTGAACCCCTTCATAAATGTTACTTTGCTCACACTCCAACAGCACGTCAAGTATTAAAAACCATTTGTCTCCATTCACTCCTATCAAACATGCTCACGCACGCCTGCTGGAAGTCCAAGCCCCTCGCACACAAAACCTCCTTTACCCCCTCCCTCCAACCTTTCCTAGGCCGACCCTACCCCGCCTTCCTTCCACCACAGACTGATACACTCTTGAAGTCATTCTGTTTCGCTCCATTCTCTCTACATGTCCGAACCACCTCAACAACCCTTCCTCAGCCCTCTGGACAACAGTTTTGGTAATCCCGCACCTCCTCCTAAACTTCCAAACTACGAATTCTCTGCATTATATTCACACCACACATTGCCCTCAGACATGACATCTCCACTGCCTCCAGCCTTCTCCTCGCTGCAACATTCATCACCCATGCTTCACACCCATATAAGAGTGTTGGTAAAACTATACTCTCATACATTCCCCTCTTTGCCTCCAAGGACAAAGTTCTTTGTCTCCACAGACTCCTAAGTGCACCACTCACCCTTTTCCCTCATCAATTCTATGATTCACCTCATCCTTCATAGACCCATCCGCTGACACGTCCACTCCCAAATATCTGAATACATTCACCTCCTCCATACTCTCTCCCTCCAATCTGATATCCAATCTTTCATCACCTAATATTTTTGTTATCCTCATAACCTTACTCTTTCCTGTATTCACTTTTAATTTTCTTCTTTTGCACACCCTACCAAATTCATCCACCAATCTCTGCAACTTCTCTTCAGAATCTCCCAAGAGCACAGTGTCATCAGCAAAGAGCAACTGTGACAACTCCCAATTTATGTGTGTGATTCTTTATCTTTTAACTCCACGCCTCTTGTCAAGACCCTCGCATTTACTTCTCTTACAACCCCATCTATAAATATATTAAACAACCATGGCCACATCACACATCCCTGTCTAAGGCCTACTTCCACCGGGAAACAATCTCCCTCCTTCCTATGTACTCTAACTTGAGCCTCACTATCCTCGTAAAAACTCTTCACTGCTTTCAGTAACCTACCTCCTACACCATACACCTGCAACATCTGCCACATTGCGTCCCTATCCACCCTGTCATACGCCTTTTCCAAATCCATAAATGCCACAAAGACCTCTTTAGCCTTATCTAAATACTGTTCACTTATATGTTTCACTGTAAACACCTGGTCCACACACCCCCTACCTTTCCTAAAGCCTCCTTGTTCATCTGCTATCCTATTCTCCGTCTTACTTTTAATTCTTTCAATAATGACTCTACCATACACTTTACCAGGTATACTCAACAGACTTATCCCCCTATAATTTTTGCACTCTCTTTTGTCCCCTTTGCCTTTATACAAAGGAACTATGCATGCTCTCTGCCAATCCCTAGGTACCTTACCCTCTTCCATACATTTATTAAATAATTGCACCAACCACTCCAAAACAATATCCCCACCTGCTTTTAACATTTCTATCTTTATCCCATCAATCCCGGCTGCCTTACCCCCTTTCATTTTACCTACTGCCTCACGAACTTCCCCCACACTCACAACTGGCTCTTCCTCACTCCTACAAGATGTTATTCCTCCTTGCCCTATACACGAAATCACAGCTTCCCTATCTTCATCAACATTTAACAATTACTCAAAATATTCCCTCCATCTTCCCAAGACCTCTAACTCTCCATTTAATAACTCTCCTCTCCTATTTTTAACTGACAAATCCATTTGTTCTCTAGGCTTTCTTAACTTGTTAATCTCACTCCAAAACTTTTTCTTATTTTCAACAAAATTTGTTGATAACATCTCACCCACTCTCTCATTTGCTCTCTTTTTACATTGCTTCACCACTCTCTTAACCTCTCTCTTTTTCTCCATATACTCTTCCCTCTTTGCATCACTTCTACTTTGTAAAAACTTCTCATATGCTAACTTTTTCTCCCTTACTACTCTCTTTTCATCATCATTCCACCAATCGCTCCTCTTCCCTCCCGCACCCACTTTCCTGTAACCACAAACTTCTGCTGAACACTCTAACACTACATTTTTAAACCTACCCCATACCTCTTCGACCCCATTGCCTATGCTCTCATTAGCCCATCTATCCTCCAATAGCTGTTTATATCCTTCCCTAACTACCTCCTCTTTTAGTTTATAAACCTTCACCTCTCTCTTCCCTGATGCTTCTATTCTCCTTGTATCACATCTACCTTTTACTCTCAGTGTAGCTACAACTAGAAAGTGATCTGATATATCTGTGGCCCCTCTATAAACATGTACATCCTGAAGTCTACTCAACAGTCTTTTATCTACCAATACATAATCCAACAAACTACTGTCATTTCGCCCTACATCATATCTCGTATACTTATTTATCCTCTTTTTCTTAAAATATGTATTACCTATAACTAAACCCCTTTCTATACAAAGTTCAATCAAAGGGCTCCCATTATCATTTACACCTGGCACCCCAAACTTACCTACCACACCCTCTCTAAAAGTTTCTCCTACTTTAGCATTCAGGTCCCCTACCACAATTACTCTGTCACTTGGTTCAAAGGCTCCTATACATTCACTTAACATCTCCCAAAATCTCTCTCTCTCCTCTGCATTCCTCTCTTCTCCAGGTGCATACACGCTTATTATGACCCACTTCTCGCATCCAACCTTTACTTTAATCCACATAATTCTTGCATTTACACATTCATATTCTCTTTTCTCCTTCCATAACTGATCATTCAACATTACTGCTACCCCTTCCTTTGCTCTAACTCTCTCAGATACTCCAGATTTAATCCTATTTATTTCCCCCCACCGAAACTCCCCTACCCCCTTCAGCTTTGTTTCGCTTAGGGCCAGGACATCCAACTTCTTTTCATTCATAACATCAGCAATCATCTGTTTCTTGTCATCTGCACTACATCCACGCACATTCAAGCATCCCAGTTTTATAAAGTTTTTCTTCTTCTCTTTTTTAGTAAATGTCTACAGGAGAAGGGGTTACTAGCCCATTGCTCCCGGCATTTTAGTCGCCTCATACGACACGCATGGCTTACGGAGGAAAGATTCTTTTCCATTTCCCCATGGACAATAGAAGAAATAAAGAAGAACAAGAGCTATTTAGAAAAAGGAGAAAAACCTAGATGTATGTATATATATATATATGCATGTGCGTGTCTGTGAAGTGTGACCAAAGTGTAAGTTGGAGTAGCAAGATATCCCTGTTATCTAGCGTGTTTATGAGACAGAAAAAGACACCAGGAATCCTACCATCATGCAAAACAGTTACAGGTTTCTGTTTCACAGTCATCTGGCAGGACGGTAGTACTTCCCTGGGTGGTTGCTGTCTACCAACCTACTACCTATCTACACATGTTCCTCCATAAAAAAAATCTGCCTTTTTCATAACTTACCTTTTTTATCATGTTATTTATTCACACTTGAATAAGTTTGTTAGTCAGCAATGGTTTTTCATTTTAAGAATTGGTGGGATATTTGGAATATTAATTTTTGCAGCTTGATTGCTGTACAGCATATATTCCTTCTACCTTACATTAGGCTGAGGTTTTTATTTATGTTTCTATTATGCCATTGACACTTCATTTTTACTTTTAATCAGTTGTTTAACCCTTTCAGGATCCAGACCCCCAATCTGAAACTTGTCCACAGGGTCCAAGAATTATAAAAAAAAAAATTCTTATTTTCTTCTCATGAAATGGTAGAGAATCTTTGTCTGAAGATAAAACAAAAAGCATGAAATTTGATGGAAAATTGACAAAATTATGCTTTCGTGAATTATGTTGTGTCAGTGATATTTACACCAGTGATTTTGCCCATTTTGACGCCTATTTTAGGCCAATTACATTGTTCCAGTCGACCAACTTCTTAGTTATTTTGCTAGTATGCCTTCTCTTTTATTGATTGAGAACAAGAACCCTCCCATTCAATTGTTTCGACTATCCGGTATAGTGACCAGAAATTGGTCTCTTGGCCAATTTCGCACAAATTTCAAAATATTTGAATTTCAAAATACGGTCCATAATAAACAATGCAGGCATTCCTGGCACTAAAATAACATTTCTTCTGTTCATTAGTTACATTTCCAGGCTTTACACATGATTTCCATTTTGATTTTTTATTCACACCAAACATTAGTATTGTTATAATTATATAAATAATATCAGTGCATTGTGAATGTATATTAGACCCACCAGTTGACGTGTATTGGATGCGTGATGTGATCTGTTTACTCTTGAACATCGGCAGAAATCGAACATTTCTGCTGCTTTGAACTCAATTTCATGGTATTTCCCATCCTAAAAGCAATGAAAATCATCTCTGTTTCAGTAATATCTTCAGTTCTATTAAATAATACCAAGAAACCATGAATTCACCCATGAAAACCATACAAAAATACACTGCAAACTTGCTGTTTTAAACCAAAAATACTGTCACAGTTTTTCTCGTTATGTACTGTGCGCTGCATGATATTTTTATATGGTGCACACTTACCAAATAGAGCCATTCTCTCGTATCTCAGCCCAAATTTACCGCTTACAGAATATTTGAGTGAGCTGAGCTCATCACATACGTGTGTAGTGTTACGGCACAGACCCTGGCTTTAAACTCGTAGAACAACGTCACGGACCCTCAAAGGGTTAATTCTTATCACTGTACTGTGTAGTCATTGTAAAACATAATGATCCAAGTGGGTTTAGCGCTTTTTGTTATTTTTTTTTTTTAACATCGGACATTTCCCACCAAGGCAGGGTGACCCAAAAAAGAAAAAAAAAAAGTTTCATCTCTCAATACTTTTACCATCACTCATACAATGCTTGCAGAGGCACTGCAGGCATTGTATTTCCCATTTCCAGGACTCAAGTCTGGCTAACCGGTTTCCCTGAATCCCCTTCACAAAATATTACCCTCCTCACACTCCAACAGCTCGTCGGGTCCCAAGAACTATTCGTCTCCATTCACTCCTATCTTATCTCCTTCACCCACCTCCCTCCAACCTTTTCGAGGATGACCCCTACCCCACCTTCCTTTACCTACAGATATATATGCTCTCCAAGTCATTCTACTTTGTTCCGTTCTTTCTAAATGACTATACACAAATAACCTGCACATAAACCTCAACACCTCAACCACCTCAACAACCCCTCTTCAGCCCTCTGACAAATACTTTTGATAACTCCACACCTCCTCCTAATTTCCACACTACGAATTCTTTGCATCAAATTTTCACCATACACTG